GATGAGCGAGCAGTGTATGTATGTAGCACTTTGTGTTGGCAAAAGGAGCGCACTGGTTGGAACTACACAAATGATGAGCGAGCAGTGTATGTATGTAGCACTTTGTGTTGGCAAAAGGAGCGCACTGGTTGGAACTACACAAATGACAAACCCACACACAGCCACCGAAGACTCTTTTATTTTTTTAGAATATTTTTTGTATTTTTTAAGAATAAAAGGCAGGTATTTTTAAAAAATATTCAGAAATGGAAAATTAACCAAAAACTGGCCCTGATGTGGACCAAACACAGCCACGAGACAGCGCAAATGAGAGCACACAGCAACAGAAGAGTCTTTTCTTTTTTTAGAATATTTTTTGTTTTTTTTAAGAATAAAAAAATATATTAAAATAATATTAAAAAATATTTTAAAATGGAAAATTAACCAAAAAATGGCCCAAATGTGGACCAAACACAGGCAGGATACAGCAAATGAGAGCACACACCAACAGAAGAGTCTTTTCTTTTTTAGAATATTTTTTAAAAATAATATTAAAATAATATTAAAAATAATATTAAAATTAAGAAACAAATTCACAAAAACCGAAGGAAGTAATGAATCCAAGCAAGGAATATAAGCAGCACTAAGCACAGCAGCAAGGAATGAATCCAAGCAAGGAATGAGCAAGGAATGAATCCAATCCAGTTGCTAGCCAAGCCAAGCCAACCCAATGCAAACCCTCCCGGACCTCTTCTCTCTCCCTCGCCCTCTGCAGCAATGAGCTACGGCCGCGCGGAGCCGCTTTGAAAGGGCTCGCCGGCCAATCAAAAACAAACAGCCACGGTGCACTGCTTGGGAGCGCCGGATTGGCTCCCAGGCACCAGCAGCCCCATCCCATTAACGAAACGAGCGGAAGCTCGTTAAATCTATGGGGGTTGCCGGTTCGATATTTTTAAACCCTTCCGGGTTTGAAAATGTGTTTTGATATCGCTTCGGAAATGCCAAAAATAACGAATTAATAACGAATTAAAATTAACGAACGAAACCGCCCAGGCCTACTACATACAAACTATCTCCAGACCCACCAAGAAAATCCAACCAATGCTCTGTTAAGCAAAGGACAAGAGGTGTCCTCTCACTTCTACAGGAGTCTACCATTGTATACCATGCAGCTGTGGACAAGAAGTCTACATAGAGACCACCACATGCAGCTGCAGCATTGCCCAACCACGAATCAAGGAACACGAAAGGCACTGCAGACTAACTCACTCAGAGAAGTCAGCCATAGCAGAGCACCTGATGAACCAACCTGGACACAGCATATTATTTGAGAACACAGAAATGCTGGACCACTCTAACAACCACCATGTCAGACTACACAGAGAAGCCATGAAATCCACAAGCATGTGGACAATTTCAACAGAAAGGAACCATGAAAATGAACAAAATCTGGCTACCAGTATTAAAAAACTCTAAAATTACAACAACAAAACAGCAGAGGGGAAATCAGGGACATCTAATCACCTCTCAACAAAAGATTGCCCCAGGCACTGCCAGGCCATCAAATGCTAATCAAAATGGTCAGTTGAAACATTCACACCTAACTCCAGCAGACAAGAGTTTGTCCCACCCTGGTCATTCCACAGATATATAAACCCCTTTTCCTAGTTTCCAACAGACCTCACTACCTCTGAGGATGCTTGCCATAGATGCAGACGAAACGTCAGGAGAAATGCCTCTAGAACATGGCCCTATAGCCCAGAAAACACTACAACAAACCATTACATTTTTATTTATATAGATTATCCGAATTATAAGTATGTTATAATTATAATTAGTTTTATAATAATCATCATAATTAATCCAGTATATAGATTTCGTTTGCTGTGAACACGGTGCAATTGAACATAGGAACATGAAACAAAGGATTATGAGAATGGATTCTGATTTGTTGTTGAGGCGTTATGATAATGATTGTTTATTGATATTGATTGTTATGTATAATGTGTTTTAATTGCTTATGATACTGTCTTGATAATTTGTACTATGTAAACCGCTTTGAGTCGCCTAAGGGCTGAGAAAAGCGGTATAGAAATAAAGTAAATAAATAAATAATAAATAAACACCATAAAAATGTTACTAGGTTCTTGTGGGTTTTTTCGGGCTATAGGCCATGTTCTAGAGGCATTTCTCCTGACGTTTCGCCTGCATCTTGGCACATCTTCGCTCATAAATTTCTGGTAGTGGTCGTGTGAATTATTAGTGTAAATGGTTATATGACTGTGAATGATGGTGTGAGCAAGCTCTCGCTGCTTTCTGTGTATGTTCTTGCTGCATCTTCTCATAGCATTTGATGCCTCCTGAGCTGAATATATCTCTTCGGGGAAGGTGTTCTCTGTGCCGTGTTTTCTCTCTGCTGTTTGCGTTGTTTTTTTTTTTTTGAAGGCAGCTCCACAGCTTCAAATGCTATGAAATTGTCAGTGTGAACTTCACACCTAGCTGCCTAGAGAGCTCTTGTCCTTGCCCCTGTGTCTTTTCCCTTACAGATATATCAACCCATGTTCGCTATTCTTCCACAGTACCTGCATCTTTATCCCTCTGTAGGATGCTTGCCTTATCAGATTCAGGCAAACGTCTAGGGAGAAAATGCCTCTTAGATACTGCATATAGCTCGAAACTTTTCACACCTTACATTTATTAACTTGTAAATAGTAAAGGTATTGTCCCCTGACATTAAGTCCAGTCGCGTCCGACTCTGGGACTCTGGTGCTCATCTCCATTTCTTAGCTGAAGAGCCGGCGTTGTCCGTAGACACCTCCAAGGTCACGTGGCCACTGGCCTGACTGCATGGAGCGCCATTACCTTCCCGCAGAAGTGGTACCTATTGATCTACTCGCGTTTGCATGTTTTTGAACTGCTAGGTTGGCAGAAGCTGGAGCTAATAGCGGGAGCTCACGCCGCTCCCCGGAATCGAACCTGCGACCTTTCGATCAACAAGCTCAGCAGCTCAGTGCTTTAAACCCACTGAGCCACCGGGGACATAAATAAATAATCTTAATTATAATTTTAAGTATGTTATAATTATAATTGGTTTTATAATAATAATCGTAATTAATCCAGCATATAGATCTCGTTTGCTGTGACATAGTGTGCTTTTGTGTCAGTAAAATGATAATAATAATAATAATAATAATAATAATAATAATATTGTTGTTGTTGTTGTTATTCCTAGGAGGCTCCTATGAGAGAGGGCTGGGAGCTCGGCAGGGGGAGTGTGTCCCTGTTGGTGCTGCTGGACCTCTCAGCGGCCTTCGATACCGTCGACCACGGTATCCTTCTGGGACGCCTCGCGGGGATGGGTCTTGGAGGTACTGTTTTGCAGTGGCTCCGGTCATTCCTGGAGGGTCGATCTCAGAAGGTGTTGTTGGGGGACACCTGTTCAACCCCACAACCATTGTCTTGTGGGGTTCCTCAGGGCTCAATATTGTCTCCCATGTTGTTTAACATCTACATGAAGCCGCTGGGGGAGATCATCCGGAGTTTCGGGGTACGGTGTCATCTGTACGCGGATGATGTCCAACTCTGTCACTCCTTTCCCCCTGCTACTAAGGAGGCTGTCCAGGTCCTGAACCGGTGCTTGGCCGGTGATGATCTGGATGAGGGTGAACAAATTGAAATTGAATCCAGACAAGACAGGTCCTCCTGGTCAGTCGAAAGGCTGAACAGGGCATAGGGTTCCAGCCTATGTTGGACAGGGTTAATCTCCCTGAAGACGCAGGTTCGCAGTTTGGGTGTGATCCTGGACTCATTGCTGAGCCTGGAACCCCAGGTTTCAGTGGTGACCAGGGGAGCATTCGCACAGTTAAAACTTGTGCGCCAGCTGCGCCCGTACCTTGGGAAGTCTGACTTGGCCACGGTAGTCCACGCTCTGGTTACATCCCGTTTAGACTCCTGCAACGCTCTCTACGTGGGGTTGCCTTTGAAGACGGCTCGGAAGCTCCAACTAGTCCAACGCTCGGCAGCCATGATACTAACAGGAGCGGAGCGCAGGGAGCATACAACCCCTCTGCCTGCACCAGCTCCACTGGCTGCCGATCTGCTACCGGGCTCAATTCAAAGTGCTGGCATTGGCCTTTAAAGCCCTAAACGGTTCGGGCCCAAGCTACCTATCCGAACGTATCTCTGCCTATGAACCCACCAGGACTCTAAGATCTTCTGGGGAGGCCCTGCTCTCGATCCCGCCTGCATCACAAGCATGGCTGGCGGGGACGAGGGACAGGGCCTTCTCTGTGGTGGCCCCTCGGCTGTGGAACGCCCTTCCTACGGACATTAGACTAGCACCATCTCTAATGGTATTCCGCAAAAAGGTGAAGACCTGGATGTTTGTGCAGGCGTGTGAGTAATTTAGTACAATCTGGTAATGGAACATAGGAATGGAACAATGGACGACGAACCTGGACTACGCTTGGATGATGAGAAGATTGGGTACGGTTGTTTTTTGTAATAATTGTGCATTGTAATTGCTTATTGGTAATTTATGGATAATGTGTTAAGTCAATTGTTATATGTTGCATGGAACCACTGCTGTTTCTACTGTTTTTACTGTTTGTGAACCGCTGTGAGTCGCCTTCGGGCTTGAGATACAGCGGTATATAAGCAAAGTAAATAAATAATAAATAAATAAATAATTGTGTATTATGTATTACATATACTATTACTAGTAATCTTGCAGTATAATGCATTATTATTTTTGATATAGATGTGGATTTGTTTTTGGGACATAGTGTGCTTTTGTGTCAGTAAAATGATAATAATAATAATAATAATAATAATAATAATAATATTGTTGTTGTTGTTGTTATTCCTAGGAGGCTCCTATGAGAGAGGGCTGGTGACGTCACGCGGAGGGGGCGGGGCAAGGGAATGTGGGCGGAGCAAGCGCGAGGAGGGACCCGATTGGGCAGCTGCAGCCAGCCCCGCCCCTTCCGGTCTGAGCCAGCCTTTCCTTTCGCTTTCGTTTCCCGGCTTCCTGTTTCGGAGGGCGGCGGTGCCTGAGGGCCAGCGGGAGGATGGCGTCTCCCTCTCCGGCCTGCCCGTGGGTGGAGGTGCGGGGCTTCCCTCCGGAGGCGGCGGAGGAGCTCCTGGTGCTCTACTTCGAGAACCGGCGCCGCTCCGGAGGGGGCCCGGTCAGGGACTTCCGGCGGAAGGGACCCCGCGCACTCCTGGCCTTCGAGCAGGCCTCAGGTCAGGGACCCGGATGGAGAGGGATACAGAGCGGGGAGGGGGCCTCAGGGGAAAGTGGGGTGGGCTCCCCAAGGGCCCTGGATCTCTGGATGTAGGTGGACTATAACTCCCAGAACCAAAGGACACTGCCCACCAAACCCTTCCAGCATTTTCTCTTGTTAATGGGAGAACTGTGTGCCAAGTTTGGTTCAATTCTATCATTGGTGGGGTTCAGAATGCTCTGTGATTGTAGGTGAACTATAAATCCCTGCAACTACAACTCCCAAATGTCAAGATTCTATTTTCCCCCAACTTCACCAGTATTCACATTTGGGCATATTGAGTATTCGTGTGGAGTTTGGTTCAGATCTATCATTGTTTGTGTCCACAGTGATCTCTGGATGTAAGTGAACTACAAATCCCAGCAACTACAACTCCCAAATGTCAAGATTCTATTTTCCCCCAACTTCACCAGTATTCACATTTGGGCATATTGAGTATTTGTGCCCCAATTCTATCATTGGTGGGGTTCAGAATGCTCTTTGATTGTAGGTGAACTATAAATCCCAGCAACTACAACTCCCAAATGTCAAGTTCTATTTTTCCCAAACTTCACCAGTATTCACTTTGGGCATATTGAGTATTTGTGCCGAGTTTGGTTCAGATCTATCATTGTTTGTGTCCACAGTGATCTCTGGATGTAAGTGAACTACAAATCCCAGCAACTACAACTCCCAAATGTCAAGATTCTATTTTCCCCCAACTTCACCAGTATTCACATTTGAGCATATTGAGTATTCGTGTGGAGTTTGGTTCAGATCTATCATTGTTTGTGTCCACAGTGATCTCTGGATGTAAGTGAACTACAAATCCCAGCAACTACAACTCCCAAATGTCAAGATTCTATTTTTCCCAAACTCCACCAGTGTTCACATTTGGGCATATTGAGTATTCATGTCGAGTTTGGTCCAGATCCATCATTGTTTGAGCCCACAGTGATCTCTGGATGTAGATGAACTACAACTCCCAAACCAAAGGACACTGCCCACCAAACCCTTCAAGTGTTTTCCAACTCCACCAGTATTCACATTTGGGCATATTGAGTATTCGTTTGGTCCAGATCCATCATTGTTTGAGTCCACAGTGATCTCTGGATGTAGGTGAACTACAACATCCCAGCAACTACAACTCCCAAATGTCAAGATTCTATTTCCCCCAAATTCCACCAGTGTTCACATTTGGGCATATTGAGTATTCTTGTAGAGTTTGGTCCAGATCCATCATTGTTTGGTGGGGTTCAGAATGCTCTTTGATTGTAGGTGAACTATAAATCCCAGCAACTACAACTCCCAAATGTCAAGATTCTATTTTCCCCAAACTCCACCAGTGTTCACATTTGGGCATATTGAGTATTCGTGTGGAGTTTGGTCCAGATCCATCATTGTTTGAGTCCACAGTGATCTCTGGATGTAGGTGAACTACAACTCCAAAACCAAAGGACACTGCCCACCAAACCCTTCCAGTATTTTCTGTTGGTCATGGGAGTTCTGTGTGCCAAGTTTGGTTCAATTCCATCGTTGGTGGAGTTCAGAATGCTCTTTGATTGTAGGTGAACTATAAATCCCCACAACTACAACTCCCAAATGTCAAGGTCTATTTTCCTCAAACTCCACCAGTGTTTACATTTGGGCATATTGAGTATTTGTGCCAAGTTTGGTCCAGATCCATCATTGTTTGAGTCCACAGTGATCTCTTGGATGTAGGTGAACTACAACTCCAAAACCAAAGGACACTGCCCACCAAACCCTTCCAGTATTTTCTGTTGGTCATGCTCTCTGGTTGTAGGCAAACTACAACTCCCAAACTCAAGGTCTATGCCCACCAAACCCTTCCAGTATTTTCTGTTGGTCATGGAAGTTCTGTGTGCCAAGTTTGGTTCAATTCCATTGTTGGCGGGGTTCAGAATGCTCTTTCTTTACAGGTTAACTATAAATCCCAACAACTACAACAGTTCTCTCTGGATGTAGGTGAACTACAACTCCAAAACCAAAGGACACTCCCCACCAAACCCTTCCGGTATTTTCTGATGGTCATGGGGGTTTTGTGTGCCAAGTTTGGTTCAATTCCATCGTTGGTGGGGTTCAGAATGCTCTCTGAGTGTAGGTGAACTACAAATCTCAGTAATGACAACTCACAAATGTCAAGATTCTGTGTTCCCCCAAACTCCACCCGTGTTCACACTTGGGCATATTGAGTATTTGTGTAGAGTTTGGTCCAGATCCATCATTGTTTGAGTCCACAGTGATCTCTGGATGTAGGTGAACTACAACTCCAAAACCAAAGGACACTGCCCACCAAACCCTTCCAGTATTTTTCTGTTGGTCATGGGAGAACTGTGTGCCAAGTTTGGTTCAATTCCATCGTTGGTGGGGTTCAGAATGCTCTTTGATTGTAGGTGAACTATAAATCCCAGCAATTACAACTCCCAAATGTCAAGATTCTATTTTCCCCAAACTCCCCCAGTGTTCACACTTGGGCATATTGAGTATTTGTGCCAAGTTTGGTCCAGATCCATCTTTGTTTGAGTCCACAGTGCTCTGTGGTTGTAGGTGAAGTGAACTACAACTCCGCTGGACCGGCCACGTTGTCCGGATGCTCGACCACTGTCTCCCAAAGCAGTTGTCCTACTCCGAACTCAAGAATGGAAAATGGAATGTTGGTGGACAGGAAAAGAGAATTAAAGATGGGCTCAAAGCCAACCTTAAAAACTCCGGCATAGACACTGAGAACTGGCACCCTTGAGCACTCCAGCTGGAGGTTAGCTGTGACCAACAGTGCGTCAGAATTTGAACAGTCCTCTCGGGTAGATAGAGAGGAATTTAAATCTTGGGGAGATAGAGAGGAATTTGTTGTTGTCATTAACTGGCCCTTGAGCGCCCCAGCTGGAGGTTAGCTGTGACCAGCAGTGCTGCAGAATTTGAACAGTCCTCTTGGGGAGATAGAGAGGAATTTGTTGTTGTCATTAACTGGCCCTTGAGCGCCCCAGCTGGAGGTCAGCTGTGACCAACAGTGCTGCAGAATTTGAACAGTCCTCTTGGGGAGATAGAGAGGAATTTGTTGTTGTCATTAACTGGCCCTTGAGCGCCCCAGCTGGAGGTTAGCTGTGACCAGCAGTGCTGCAGAATTTGAACAGTCCTCTTGGGGAGATAGAGAGGAATTTGTTGTTGTCATTAACTGGCCCTTGAGCGCCCCAGCTGGAGGTTAGCTGTGACCAGCAGTGCTGCAGAATTTGAACAGTCCTCTTGGGGAGATAGAGAGGAATTTGTTGTTGTCATTAACTGGCCCTTGAGCGCCCCAGCTGGAGGTCAGCTGTGACCAACAGTGCTGCAGAATTTGAACAGTCCTCTTGGGGAGATAGAGAGGAATTTGTTGTTGTCATTAACTGGCCCTTGAGCGCCCCAGCTGGAGGTTAGCTGTGACCAGCAGTGCTGCAGAATTTGAACAGTCCTCTTGGGGAGATAGAGAGGAATTTGTTGTTGTCATTAACTGGCCCTTGAGCGCCCCAGCTGGAGGTTAGCTGTGACCAGCAGTGCTGCAGAATTTGAAGAGGCACGAATGGAGGGTGTGAAAGAGAGAAACGTGCCAAGAGGAAGGTGCATCAAGTCAACCCTGACCGGGACCACCTTCCACCTGGAAACCAATGTTCTCACGGCGGGAGAACATGCAGATCAAGAATAGGGCTCCACAGCCACCTACGGACCCACCAGAACAATTCGGTTAGTCTGTTATCACCGAACTTTGCTGACTAAGGACTGGTTAATTATGGATGACGAACTCTGGATTGGTGATTTTATTGACGAGATGCATGGTATTATTATTGGTGGCCCAATAATCTGTATTGTCTATGTGTTGTTGTTTTAAATTGTATATTGTTTTTAATTGCTGTAAACCGCAATGAGTCGCCGACTTAGGCTGAGATATTAGCGGTATACAAGTGTATAAAATAAATAAATAAATAAATAAACAATGATCCTGGAAGACTATCCTACTCAGCCAACGAGGGATCACCTGAGTAAGTAAGTAAGACGTAGACTAACATTTGTCTCCCACATTTCTGTCAGCCGGCACTTCTGGTAGGTTCCCATGAGAACAGACCTCACCTTCTCCAGTTTCTTGGGAACTTCCAGGAGGAGATTCCAAAACAACTCTCTCTGGGTTCTTGTGGGTTTTTTCAGACCTCACTACCTCTGAGGATGCCTCTAGAACATGGCCCTATAGCCCGAAAAAACCCACAAGAACCTAGTGATTCCAGCCATGAAAGCCTTCGACAATACATTAACTCTCTCTGGGTCATTTCCATTCTACTCCAGGTCCTCTGCATCTCTCCCCGCATCCCCTTCCTCCTCATCTGAACACTCAGCATCAGACCAGGCTGCAACAACAACACCCCAATGTCATGGGACCTTGTCAAATGGGCTGCATCCACAAGTTCCCCCTGTTGCTTCTTCTTCCTCTTCAGATGCAGAGAGGGTCCTCTCCAGAGCCGAGCACGTCCTGCAAGGTGTCCGCCTGGAGGTCCGTCCGGGACCTCCCCGCGACCAAAAGAAGGTGCTCCTCTATGGCCTGAGTCCCCAGAGCAGCCAGGACTTGGTGGAGCTGTACGTGGAGCACATGCTGAAGTGCGACCGGGGCGCCTACTCCCTCTTCCGCAGCCCGGATGGCAGGCAGGCCCTCGTTCAACTCCAGCGGCCCATCAGCCACGCAGGTAAGCATTTGTAAGCTTTGTTGGGAGACCCTGGGGCCTGAGTATTGGCCACCCAGGTTTGCTCCCTGCTCAGCCCTGGGCTTACCCATGAGGAGACCTGCAACCACACCCTCGTTCCAGCCAGCCGACCCAGCAACTTAAATTTCCAGACAGCAATTTAAATTTCTGGGAAGACCTTATCACACCATGTGCTGGCAATGTCTTTATCACTCTTTTCCACCTGCTACTAAGGAGGCTGTTCAGGTCCTGAACCGGTGCTTGGCCGCTGTCTCGGACTGGATGAGGGACAACAGATTGAAACTAAATCCAGACAAGACAGAGGTCCTCCTGGTCAGTCGCAAGGCCAAACAGGGTACGGGGTTACAGCGTGTGCTGGACGGGGTCACACTCCCCCTGAAAGCACAGGTACGCAGTCTGGGAGTTCTCCTGGATTCATCGCTGAGCCTGGAACCCCAGGGTTCGGCGGTGGTCAGGGGAGCTTTCGCACAATTAAAACTTGTGCGCCAGCTGCGTCCGTACCTTGGGAGGGCTGACTTGGCCACGGTAGTACATGCTTTGGTTACATCCCGCTTAGATTACTGCAACGCTCTCTACGTGGGGTTGCCTCTGAAGACTGCCCGGAAGCTGCAGCAAGTACAACGCGCGGCAGCCAGATTACTAACGGGTGCTGGGTACAGGGAGCACACCACTCCGCTGTTACTCGAGCTCCACTGGCTGCCGATTAGCTTCCGAGCACAATTCAAAGTGCTGGTGTTGACCTATAAAGCCCTAAACGACTCCGGCCCTGTTTACCTCTCCGAACGTATTCTCCCCTACGAACCATCAAGACTACTAAGATCGTCTGGTGAGGGACAGGGCCTTCTCGATGGTGGCCCCTCGACTTTGGAACTCCCTGCCATTAGAGATCAGAACTGCCCCCTCCCTCATGACGTTCAGGAAACTAACAAAGACCTGGTTGTGGAACGCGGCATTTGACAACTGATTTAATTCTTTGCCCACATGAAAGGAGGATGATGAATGGGATTGTGATGGTGTCGGACGATTTGGCTCTTTTAACTGTGATGATAATGTTTTAATGTGTATGGTGCTGATATTTTAATCGTGTAATGAAGTGGCATTGTGTTGTTATTGTATATTCTTTGTATGTTAACACATGTTGTGAACCGGTCCGAATCCCTCTTTGAAGGTGAGAGGGTCGGTATATAAAACCTCGAAATAAATAAATAAACAAATTTATTAGGCTAATTGAAAAGGAACACAAATAACAACAAGAACTTCATTTCTTACCTGCTTCTCCTCTTGGATCGAGGTGGGTTACAGCAAGGTTAAAAAACATCAACATTGTAAACATTCTATAAATACACAAATGTTTTTCTATGAAAGATGGATAAGTAAAGGTAAAGGTTTTCCCCTGACATGAAGTCCAGTCGAGTCCAACTCTGGGGGTTGGTGCTCATCTCCATTTCTAAGCCAAAGAGCCAGCGTTGTCCGTAGACACCTCCAAGGTCATGTGGCCACTGGCATGATTGCATGGAGCGCCGTTACCTTCCCACCGGAGCGGTACCTATTGATCTACTCACATTTGCATGTTTTCAAACTGCTGGGGCTGACAGCAGAAGCTCTCACCGCTCCCCAGATTTGAACCTGTGACCTTTCGGTCACCAAGCTCAGCAGCCCAGCAGTTTAACCCACTGCGCCACCGAGGGTTCCATTGAAAGATGGATAGTAACACATATTTCTAAAAAAAATACATATTAAAATACATAGAAGAGAGATTAAAATACAGGATACAAGTGTTTACTATGCCCAGAAACTAATTGGCAGCCAGTGGAGTGACTTTAGGATAGGTGTAATATGCTCACTCCTGGATGTTCCTGTAACCAGTCTGGCTGCCGTATTTGAACCAGGTGCAATTCTTTAATATAGTACCATGCTTACTCAAATCGAATGCTCTCCTTATTTGGCTAAATAACCATATATACTTTGTGTATTTGTGTGCTTCGTTGTGTTTCAGGATATTGAATGTTTGCCTGAGTTAATATATATGCTGAAATCCGTTTTGAGTCCCCTCGAGGAGATAGGACGGAATACATTTAAAGTGTTGTTGTTGTGATGGTGGTTATAGGGTGTGCATTAGAGTCACATAACATGGTCATCTTAGTGCTGAGTCAAAGCAAAAGTGGAAGTTGCTTCAGGAGCTGCTCCTGGACTTCCTATTTCAGGGACGCCACCTCTATTTTAGTGGCCATGGCTCAGTGCTATGCCATCTTGGGATTTGTAGTTTGGTGAGGCACCAGCATCCTTTGCCAGCCCCCATGACTCCACAGCATTGATCCAGGGCAGTGAAAGTGCCTTCATTCTTTCTACAGCAGAGAGACACTTGAGGTTTTATTTTCTGTTGCTGGAACACACTTAGAATTATAGAATCATAGAATCAAAGAGTTGGAAGAGACCTCATGGGCCATCCAGTCCAACCCCTTTCTGCCAAGAAGCAGGAATATTGCATTCAAATCACCCCTGACAGATGGCCATGCAGCCTCTGCTTAAAAGCTTCCAAAGAAGGAGCCTCCACCACACTCCGGGGCAGAGAGTTCCACTGCTGAACGGCTCTCACAGTCAGGAAGTTCTTCCTCATGTTCAGATGGAATCTCCTCTCTTGTAGTTTGAAGCCATTGTTCCATTGCGTCCTAGTCTCCAGGGAAGCAGAAAACAAGCTTGCTCCCTCCTCCTCCCTGTGGCTTCCTCTCACATATTTATACATGGCTCTCATCATATCTCCTCTCAGCCTTCTCTTCTTCAGGCTAAACATGCCCAGCTCCTTAAGCTGCTCCTCATGGGGCTTGTTCTCCAGACCCTAGTCTCCAGGGAAGCAGAAAACAAGCTTGCTCCCTCCTCCTCCCTGTGGCTTCCTCTCACATATTTATACATGGCTATCATATCTCCTCTCAGCCTTCTCTTCTTCAGGCTAAACATGCCCAGCTCCTTAAGCCGCTCCTCATAGGGCTTGTTCTCCAGACCCTAGTCTCCATGGAAGCAGAAAACAAGCTTGCTCCCTCCTCCTCCCTGTGGCTTCCTCTCACATATTTATACATGGCTATCATATCTCCTCTCAGCCTTCTCTTCTTCAGGCTAAACATGCCCAGCTCCTTAAGCCGCTCCTCATAGGGCTTGTTCTCCAGACCCTAGTCTCCAGGGAAGCAGAAAACAAGCTTGCTCCCTCCTCCCTGTGGCTTCCTCTCACATATTTATACATGGCTATCAGATCTCCTCTCAGCCTTCTCTTCTTCAGGCTAAACATGCCCAGCTCCTTAAGCCGCTCCTCATAGGGCTTGTTCTCCAGACCTTTTATCATTTTAGTCGCTCTCCTCTGGACACATTCCACTTGTTTTTTGAAGAAGGAATGCTAAGCATGCAGTCAATATAATGTGTGCCTTTTTTGGCCAGATTACAGAGAGTGCACTTTTTGCTGCTGTGCATTACATTTGGCAGCAAATACTTTTTTTATACCAGGGTTTTGAAAATGGAGGTGTTGTCAGAGTGAGACCCTCCGGTCTGGCACAGCGAACTTGAGGTTTCCAAAACACACAGACTCAATTACCACACAGCATTCTTCTTCGGTTTCAAAATAATAAGCTTTACTGGAAGCATCTATTTACAGGCGACTACATGTTGATGAGGAAAGATGGCGACTGACAAAGTACAGGACTAAAAACACAGACAAAGAAACATCCTGCCCTTCTGTCTTATCTGTCTACTAGCCGGTTAACCCCCTTTTCTTCTCAGGGCTGTTATCTCAGTCTCAAGGACTTTACTCTCTGGCCTATAACAATGATAATCTACTACACGAATGAACATGACTGAAACCATCTTAGGATACAATACTAACACATTGAAAAACATATATAAAATAATTGCAATTATCCTGAGAGGTGTGCATTAGATTCGATGGGGCGTGAGACTCGAGTCAATACAGTATTAATATTACAATATTGATGGTGCTGATGGTGTCTCCGGCAGAGTTCCTGTCGCTGGCGGAGCAGGTGGGGGGCCGCCCACTGGAGGGGTCCACGCTGTGCCTGGAGTGGCTGGAGCAGACGGAGAGCTTGCTGGTGCGCAGCCAAGGCGGGAAGGAGCCCCTGCAGAAGGACCTGCTGGAGCTCTACTTCGAGAGCAAGCGCAGCGGAGGGGGGCCCGTGCGTGAGGTACACCTCCTCCCGGGAGGCCTCACTGCCATCGTCACCTTCCAGGAGCGGGAAAGTCAGAAGCAATTCTGGGTAGAGTCATAGTTGGGAGTCATAGAATCATAGAATCAAAGAGTTGGAAGAGACCTCATGGGCCATCCAGTCCAACCCCATTCTGCCAAGAAGCAGGAATATTGCATTCAAATCACCCCTGACAGATGGCCATCCAGCCTCTGCTTAAAAGCTTCCCAAGAAGGAGCCTCCACCACACTCCGGGGCAGAGAGTTCCACTGCTGAACGGCTCTCACAGTCAGGAAGTTCTTCCTCATGTTCAGATGGAATCTCCTCTCTTGTAGTTTGAAGCCATTGTTCCGCGTCCTAGTCTCCAGGGAAGCAGAAAACAAGCTTGCTCCCTCCTCCTCCCTGTGGCTTCCTCTCACATATTTATACATGGCTATCATATCTCCTCTCAGCCTTCTCTTCTTCAGGCTAAACATGCCCAGTTCCCTAAGCTGCTCCTCATAGGGCTTGTTCTCCAGACCCTTGATCATTTTAGTCGCCCTCCTCTGGACACATTCCAGCTTGTCAATATCTCTCTTGAATTGTGGTGCCCAGAATTGGACACAATATTCCAGATGTGGTCTAACCAAAGCAGAATAGAGGGGTAGCATTACTTCCTTAGATCTAAACACTATGCTCCTATTGATGCAGGCCAAAATCCCATTGGCTTTTTTTGCCGCCACATCACATTGTTGGCTCATGTTTAACTTGTTGTCCACGAGGACTCCAAGATCTTTTTCACACGTACTGCTCTCGAGCCAGGCGTCCCCCATTCTGTATCTTTGCATTTCATTTTTTCTGCCAAAGTGGAGTATCTTGCATTTGTCACTGTTGAACTTCATTTTGTTAGTTTTGGCCCATTTCTCTAATCTGTCAAGATCGTTTTGAATTCTGCTCCTGTCCTCTGGACTATTGGCTATCCCTCCCAATTTGGTGTCGTCTGCAAACTTGATGATCATGCCTTCTAGCCCTTCATCTAAGTCATTAATAAAGATGTTGAACAGGACCGGGCCCAGGACGGAACCCTGCGGCACTCCACTTGTCACTTCTTTCCAAGATGAAGAGGAAGCATTAGTGAGCACTCTCTGTGTTCGTCCACTTAACCAATTCCAGATCCACCTCACCGTAGTTTTGCCTAGCCCACATTGGACTAGTTTCCTTGCCAGAAGGTCATGGGGGACCTTGTCAAAGAAGGCCTTCCTGAAATCCAGGTACGCTCCATCCACGGCATTCCCCGCATCTACCCAGCTTGTAGCTCTATCGAAGAAAGAGATCAGATGAGTCTGGCATGACTTGTTTTTGATAAATCCATGTTGACTATTAGCGATGACTGCATTTGTTTCTAAGTGTTTGCAGACCACTTCCTTAACAATCTTTTCCAGAATCTTGCCTGGTATCGACGTGAGGCTGACCGGACGGTAGTTGTTTGGGTCATCCTTTTTTCCCTTCTTGAAGATTGGGACCACATTGGCCCTCCTCCAATCTGCTGGAACTTCTCCCGTTCTCCAAGAACTCTCAAAGATGGTTGCCAATGGTTCCGAAATGACTTCCGCTAGTTCCTTCAATGTGAGGGAGGGACAGGCCTCACCCTCTTTTGCTTTGCCCCAAGCGGGCAGGGCCTCCCTCTCCCCAGCGCAGCAGGCATGTGCATAGACACAGACAGAGCATTGTAGCTGGCATTTTCATGTTTGATGAATTAATGAACTGTACTCTTAGCCTGCACTGAGCTTGCAGAGAGATGTTTGGAACGTCAGCCACCCATTTGGGTCAGTATTTACTTGTCGTGTCAGTATCAACCAGACAATTGTATTACATTTTTAACAAATTTTTAACAAACAGACAAAACACAAAGTTTGCAAGCTTGGTATTCTATTAAATGTCCTTTGAGCAGTATCTGGCCCCTTGGAGTGCCTCTGGTGTTGCCGCAAGAAGGTCCTCCCTTGTGCATCATGTGGCAGGGCTCAGGTTGCATTGCAGCAGGTGGTCAGTGGTTTGCTCTTCTCCACGCAAGTCATGGACTCCACTTTGTGGCCCCATTTCTTAAGATTGGCTCTGCAACTCGTAGTGCCAGAGCGCAGTCTTTTCAGCGCCTTCCAGGTCGCCCAGGCTTCTCTGTGTCCAGGGGGGAGTCTCTCATTTGGTATCAGCCATGGATTGAGGTTCTGGGTTTGAGCCTGCCACTTTTGGACTCTCGCTTGCTGAGGTGTTCCAGCGAGTGTCTCTGTAGATCTTAGAAAACTATTTCTTGATTTAAGTTGTTGACGTGCTGGCTGATACCCAAACAAGGGAAGCTTGCTCCTTCCTTCCTATGACTTCCTCTCACATCTTTATACATGGCTATCACGTCTCCTCTCAGCCTTCTCTTCTTCAGGCTAAACATGCCCAGCTCCTTAAGCCGCTCCTCATAGGGCTTGTTCTCCAGACCCTTGATCATTTTAGTCGCTCTCCTCTGGACACATTCCAGCTTGTCAATATCTCTCTTCAATTGTGGTGCCCAGAATTGGACACAGTATTCCAGGTGTGGTCTAACCAAGTCAGAATAGAGGTCCTTAAACCTCCTCAATATTGAACTCACCTGTGGCACTACTTCCCTTTGGCCACGTGGGGGCAGCATCTGCACAACAAAAACAGCATCTATAAAAACATAGCATGCCACCATTCTAAGATACATACTAATTTCAGTTCCACCAACAGAAGGAAATGCTTTATTTACATGATATATAAGTGGCTGAGGGGGAAAAGGAAGGGGCCCGAGGCTGTTAGGAATTGTGGGAGTTGAAGTCCAAAACACTTGGAGGGCCAAAGTTTGCCTATGGCTGATACAAAGCAAAGGTGCATCTTTCTGGGCTCCACTTTGGCCAGCCTTTTGGGGAGTGGGGGAAATGTTAGCCATGATCCAGGGTATCCCCACCTTACGCTTCCTGCGTAAATAGCTATGAAGCACAGGGGGTAAGAAATAAATTATTATTGTTATTGTTATTATTAAATACATTTCAAGGGATGTCCTAAGGAAGAGGGAGTGGGCTTCTTTTCTGCTGCCCTGGAGACAAGGTCTCAATGGAGCCGTGGGTTCAAACACCGGGGGGGAAGGAGATTCCACCTGAACATGTATAAATATGTGAGAGGAAGCCGCAGGGAGCAAGCTTGTTTTCTGCTTCCCTGGAGACTAGGACGCAATGGAGGAATGGCTTCAAACTACAAGAGAGGAGATTCCATCTGAACATGAGGAAGAACTTCCTGACTGTGAGAGCCGTTCAGCAGTGGAACTCTCTGCCCCAGAGTGTGGTGGAGGCTCCTTCTTTGGAAGCTTTTAAACAGAGGCTGGATGGCCATCTGTCAGGGGTGATTTGAATGCAATATTCCTGCTTCTTGGCAGAATGGGGTTGGACTGGATGGCCCATGAGGTCTCTTCCAATTCTAGGATTCTATGATTCTATGATTAGTTAATCATTTTAAGACCTGTTCAACTGTGGAACTCTCTGCCTCAGAGTCCAGTGGAACCTCAATCCTTGGAGGCTTTTAAACAGAGGTTGGATGGCCATCTGCCATGGTTGCTTTCATAGAATCAAAGAGTTGGAAGAGACCTCCTGGGCCATCCAGTCCAACCCCATTCTGCCAAGAAGCAGGAATATTGCATTCAAATCACCCCTGACAGATGGCCATCCAGCCTCTGCTTAAAAGCTTCCAAAGAAGGAGCCTCCTTCCACCACACTCCGGGGCAGAGAGTTCCACTGCTGAACGGCTCTCACAGTCAGGAAGTTCTTCCTCATGTTCAGATGGAATCTCCTCTCTTGTAGTTTGAAGCCATTCTTCCACTGCGTCCTAGTCTCCAGGGAAGCAGAAAACAAGCTTGCTCCCTCCTCCCTGTGGCTCCCTTGGTTGTCCTTTTCCTGTGTGGCACCATAGGGTTGAATTACATGGTCCATGTGATCTCCTCCAACTTTAGCAAGGACTTCCTAAGTGCTGTTCAGCAGTGGAACTCTCTGCCTCACAGTCCAGTGGAACCTTCATCCTTGGAGGCTTTTAAACAGAGGTTGAATGGCCATCTGCCATGGGTGCTTTGTTTATTTATTTATTTATTTCACAGTTTTCTATACCGAGCTTCTCAACCTCATTGAGGGACTCAGCCCGGTTTCCAGCCGTAAAAACAAACACTCATTAAAATATCATATATCACAGATTACAAAAACAACTTTAAAAACACTATATGTAAACACTACAGTGGTCAGTCGTCCTATTAAGATGGGTCTACATCAACTTCCATCCAGGGTCCTATGGTGTTATCTCATTCGTCGAAGGCCTGACTCCACAGCCACGTCTTCACCCGTTTCCTAAATGTTAGGATGGATGGGGCGGTTCTGGCCTCCAGAGGGAGAGAGTTCCAGAGTCGCGGGGCCACCACCGAGAAGGCCCTGTCCCTCGTCCCCACCAGGCACGCTTGCGAGGCCGGTGGGACCGAGAGCAGGGCCTCTCCAGATGATCTTAATAATCTTGATGGTTCGTAGGGGAGAATACGTTCGGAGAGGTAAACAGGGTGCTTTGGTTGTCCTTTTCCTGTGTGGCACCATAGGGTTGGATTACATGGTCCATGTGGTCTCCTCCAACTTTAGCAAGGACTTCCTAAGTGCTGTTCAGCAGTGGAACTCTCTGCCTCAGAGTCCAGTGGAACCTCCATCCTTGGAGGCTTTTAAACAGAGGTTGGATGGCCATCTGCCATGGGTGCTTTGGTTGTCCTTTTCCTGTGCGGCATCATAGGGTTGGATTACATGGTCCATGTGGTCTCCTCCAACTTTAGCAAGGACTTCCTAAGTGCTGTTCAGCAGTGGAACTCTCTGCCTCAGAGTCCAGTGGAACCTCCATCCTTGGAGGCTTTTAAACAGAGGTTGGATGGCCATCTGCCATGGGTGCTTTGGTTGTCCTTTTCCTGTGCGGCATCATAGGGTTGGATTACATGGTCCATGTGGTCTCCTCCAACTTTAGCAAGGATTTCCTAAGTGCTGTTCAGCAGTGGAACTC